TATTATGTGATCCAAGTAGATCAAGTGTAAGTCGTGTCAAACTATCATGTTATTTTTGTTCAGTATTGTTTGGAAAGACTTACACCTGGACAAGGTTTGCAATACGTTCAACTTTATTATGAAAATTCACGTTCTGTGAAGAATGTGCTTCGCGTACTATTCGCAACACCATCACTGTAGGCTTTTGAAAAGTTTCAAGAAGGTTCGACTTTTCGAGCCAAATTTTGTTTCAACAAGTCTCATTTCTGGCTCATTGCTATATAAACAAGCGAAACTGCAGTTGGCATGAAGAGCAACCTGAAGAATTTCAAGACCAATGGTTTGGTGTGGTTTGTAGGCCGGTGGAATCATCGGTTAATATTTCTACGAAAATGATAGCGGTAAGAGCTTAATCTTCAATGGCGAACGTTATTGCGCTATGATAACCGACTATTTGACGCCTGAAATTGAAAGTCGGGATCTCGGCGACATTTTTTGTTTCAACATGTTGTTTCCACTTTCCACACATGGAATCAATCAATAGATTGACCAGATAATTTTACGTTAGCCTTTTCCCTGTGAGGATATGTCTAAAGTCTATGCAGACAATCCCACTTCGATTCAAATATTTGAAAGAGATAATCTTCAAAATATAAATACCAAAAAATGTTCTTTCGAATGATAATAAACATTCGCCATTAGAATTGAAGCTTCTGTTTTTTTGCTTCAAAAAAGTAGGGAATCTCGAAATGGATCAAACTTTATATATATTCACTTTTATTGAATCCAAGAAGCTAGTTTTTTTTGTAGCTTTCAAGTGAATATTTTTCGATACCAAAGTGGATGTGACGAACCATCAACGGGCTTAGTTATTTTGACTAACCACTTCCGATTCATTGCATCAGAAATATTTCAAAATTTCGTAGTCATCAGTTGAAAATCTTAGCTTAACTCAAAGTTTGAAATTTCAAAGCGAATTTTTTGAGCAATCCAAAAGAAACAATATAAAAATGTAAACAAGGTGTGTTCCAAATTAAACAAGAATTTTTATAGATTTTTTAGAATCTGCTATCTTTATCGATTGCCCAGTGGGAATAGTGAAGTTATTGCGTTTTAAGTGTCAGTATGTTTGGGTTATCGGTGCGAAAATTAGCCAATATTAAATTTTGTTTTAAAATTGGTAAAACTTCTACCTAAACRACTCAATTGATTAAACAAGTTTATGGCAATGATTGCCCATTCCGTTTCGACGTTTTACAAGTAGGTGTGGGGACATAAATGACGATCAATATATGGGCCAATCAAAATCCGTGATCACCAGAAATTCCATCGAAACTGTACGTGAATTTATCAAAAATTAGCCGAAATCGTCATGGAAATTCATTGAAATGCAGTTGAACATCTCCAAAACATAGATTTATAGCATTTTGACCAAACATTTGGGCTCATGAAAGCTGTGTGCACGGTTTGTTCCGCACAAATTGACTGACGACCAAAAATTGCTCAGAATCCAACATTCGAAGGACGATTATTTTATCAAAAATCACATTTTAACCATTAACTACTCTCCGTATTCACCTGATATGACACCGTGCGACTTCTACCTTTTCGGAAAAATGCATTTGCCGATAAAAGTAAAGCGTTATGCAGACGTAGAGGCCATTCAAAAGGCTTGCACCGGCATACTGGCGGCCATACCGGCCAACGAGCTAAAACACTTGTACGACATGCTTTTAGACCGTGCACAAAGCTGTATTGAAGCAGAAAGAGACTATTTTGAATAAAATAAATTGATTTTGCCGAAAAAACTACTTTTTCTGTTTTTTTTTTTTAAGTCTTGTTTGCTTTGGAATGCAACTTGTATATCCACCTTAGGCATAAAAGTTAGTTGTGTAAGCAAATGTGTAGTCACAAATCTCATCAGTCTTAACTCAAGTTTGTTGTTATTTCTGTCTGAGCATAGACAAATGTTGAACTCATAGTAGTCATAGACATGCAAAACTATTATTATTACGGTATAGATTCTTTTTAATTCCCCAGTGGATGAACACTTCAAACGCTTTAATCAAGTGTCCAAATAAAGTGAAAATATATAATATTTCTCAACTCCTTCCATATCTACTTTATACCGATTTGGTTTCTGGTTTCATTAATTGTTTATGCAAGATTAATTTATTTCCGGTGAATACTCATTTGTAATTGCGCTGGCCCTCGTACCTTGATTTGTAGAACTAATAGAGTCCCCACTTTCAGGTCAATTCAATATTTATTTAAATGTTTAAATTTCGATATTTACGGCTTTTATTGTTTTCTTATGAAATTAAATTAATAACTCGTGCGTTGTATGAGTGAGTGTCTCTTTGAATTTTTATTTGTCTGCGCTAGCACAATTATTTTCGGCGTTTGTTTTTCCTGGCAAATAACATTTCTCTTTAAATTTAAATGCACTCTGATTCAGTGCATTATTCATGTTGGTGTCTTGTTTAGAAATTCTGTTGGTTTTATGTCTTCTTCAAATGACTGATGTTTTTTTTTTCACCTAAAAGCAGTATTAAGAAATAACCTCTTTACTGGTCCGATCTTACTCAATAATGTAACACATATACATATATGTGTATAAAGTAGTAGCTTTTGAAAAATATATTTCCACGATAAATAACATGTAGCACGAAATGCTAAAATCTTAATTTAAGACACGAAAATTTGCTAGTTTTCACTACGCGTTAGAAGGCTTTTTAAGTTTAATTCTTTATTTCCAACACCAGTGAGGAAAACTTCGAAGCTTTCCAGTTAAGTTTTTAGTAAAAATTTTATGGCAAATTGTTGAAACATATTTATTTAATTCGTCATAAAATTAAACCCTATAGAAAGAAGAAAACACCCAACACTCGGCAAAAAAAGACTTCCAATTGTACATTTGCTTAAAAAAATTAGTAAAGTTAAAAAAAAATTTTAAAGGTAACTTGAAACAAGTGCAATATGAATAAATTTATCGAGTAATGTTCACACAATAGAACTAATAACGTACCGCCAACAATTTCATTCTGAAATTAAGCTAGGCTAAGTTCGCTCTTTTTGAACGCGTTTTTCTCGAAACTGTGTTGTAAAAGCCGGTCGGCAGGATTTCATGAAATTTTACACAAGTCTTTGGGATATAATTTTTAAAGAATTGGACGAAGGATTTTTTTTTTACAAAATTTTTACTTAAATGTCTGCCAAAAATTCCATTGTCAGTGTTTTTCCTTCATTCAAGTTCTAAGTTAAGATTTTAAATAAAACAATTATTTTTCCACTTTCGATAATTATGTAAGGAGTTATCCAGCCAACGCGGGCGAATCTTTTYTTCAAGGGGTCTCTCGAAATAGCGTAGCAATGATCGAGCTTAAAATATCTTAACTTCAGAATTTCTTTGTTAATAGTGTATGTTTGTAAACAATAAAAATTCTAATAAAATATCGCATTTTTATATGAGAAAAAAAAATTAAAAAATAATTATGTTTTTACCCGAGAAAATCCATATAACCCCTTAATATTTCTTCGAATAGGTGTTGAAGGCAGATATAAATTTCTTGATGCAAAAAAATTATATCTCATTATTATGAGATAGGTACGAGTCTCGACTTTTTAATTGTAAAATTTTCTTCGTTTTTGTCTCTAACATACATGCAAGTATGTTTTATAGTACATAGTTTACGTTTGATTGAAATAATGTTTTCTTTTGCATTTATATAATTCAGCAAAAYTATATTTTGATTTTGTTTATGATTTTCAACTTAGTTTGGATAAAATGCCATTACAAATTATTCGCTCTGAAATAAACGCAAATTTTCGATAGCAGTTTCCTCTACGGCGAGTAACCTGAAACAGTTTTGTAGTAGGTCTTACTGTGTGTTCAAATTATTCATTGTGCAGTCAATTGGTTGCAAATAATTAAAATATACCGTTTTATTTTATTAGTTCTTTGGTTGACTAACTTTCTTATATGCCACTCACAACTTGAATATATGATCAAAAGCTCTTTTAATGATTGTTGGAACTTCTTTTTTATTGCCTTCCCATTAGCTTAAGGCGCAGAAGGAAGAAATATTTTAGATAGGCCTCGCAACTACAATAATCAAATTTCCATAACTTGTATAGAATTGTTCTAAAATATAAAAGGGTAAATACCATTTGACATTAGACCTGTCCCAATAAGTGCCTGCAATCCTGAGAGGAAATTCTTGCTTATTTCAACTCTAAGAAGAAATTTTTATTAAAAATTTAAATTTGAATGTGTGTTAGACCTCTGATCTGCATTATGAAAAAGGTTTTAGATTATTTATAATTTATAGAACACATTAATCACCAAAAATTTGGCAAAAGTAGGTGGAAGTCTTTATCATTTTCTTTACAGCGTTCACAATTCAATGACCAGTGGCTTCATTTTATAATCATAAAAATGTAATAATTATTAATTTATAAAATTGAAATGTTAGTCTTATTTAAATTGAAAAATTGGATGCTGGTACAAAACAAAAAACAAATTGATTTACCATTTCAAAAAGAAAACCAGAAAAACGCTTTTGCAATACTTAGAAAAATAAATAGTTAATAGAACATTATTTAAATGGAAATAATTATTTTTCCAAAACTAGTAATTTTTAAATTTACAATGTTCAGCAACTTTCGTACAAAATCTCATACCTTACAGACAGGAACTGAACATAAAAAACACAATTTTTCCGTGAGGCAATTTTTAAGTTACGCATACGACCCGGTGCACAACGGCATAAATTATTTCCTATATAATTTCATATAAAATACTACTCTACTTTAATTTTCATAAACAACGCACACAATARTTTTAGCTCAAAAAAGTAACTAAAACAAATATGAAGAAAAATATCGGACAGTTATTTATCAACCCTACTCACAAGCAGCAGAATTTAACTGGCAATGGGTTAAAAATAAATAAAACACCCTCAATGGTGGTAAAATGTATACAAAGATAAATACGCAAGAAATATTGAAATAAAATATACCCGTGARTTGGAGAGCAGTTGTTACGTTTCCTGCTTAACAGTTCGTCTGCTGGCCGTTGGCTTGCGTGTTGGCGTGCACTTCCGCTGAAACTTTGCTCACACCACTTAATTGCAGATAAAATTTACTTGTTAAATCTTAAAATTTTTTTTTGCACAATTTGCTTTCCAAATATATTTTTTTCACGCCGAAAAAATTATATTTAATTTTTTTTCCAAAACTTAGTTTATAATTTGTGTTTTTTTTTTCAAAAAATATTCTTATTAACACTTTCTTAGAATTTGCTACACAAGATTTTCAAGAGCGCGTCGCTAATAGCGTTCAACTTCTGAAACGTTTGCTTTGAGAATCCTTTGCAGACTGTTTAGTTTATGACCAGAAGCAGGGTTTTTGCTTAAAAAATTCCTCTAACGGCTGATGTTGCAACGGCGTAAATATGTGTGCTATGTTGGCCAGCAGCAATTCACCACAGCCAAAACAACAGCACAATTGGCCAAGAGAGCTTTTCTGAGTGGAAGCGTGTACTTTTTTCTTGTCTTATTTTTTTATTTTTATTTTTTGTATACCGTGCGTGTGTTGTGCGCTAAAAAATATTCCTGGGCCTCCGTTGGGTGTGCAACGGGGTACAAGCAAATAACAATAAAAAGGCCAAATATCACCCAGCTATGAATGAAAATGTGATTATTTTCACTTTTGAGCAGCAACATGTTGATGCAACAAATGTTGCTGTGACCAGCGGGGTGGTTGTAAGGTAAACTGAGTTAAGAACCGCATTCAAAAGAATTACTATATTTCCCTATTAGTTATAGTTGAAAATTATGTGACAACGAAGATCGTAAAAGTATAATAATACAACCTTCAAAACACCAACAGGTCTTTGTGAGCTTGGTATTTCTATTGAGACCTTAATTTTTTTTCTTTGTTCGTGTTTGAGATTTTTTTCCTAGATAATTTGTATTTTTGTATATACAAGACGTACGGGAATTACAGGGCCCAAAGCTGTAAAAAGCTGCTTTACAACGTCTCCTATAATATTTCCTAACGAAATGTTGTAGAAATTAAATAATAACTTCAAGCAGTGAATGACAAAATTCTCATTACAAAATCTCACTTCACCGATTCTGAATTCTCATGAGACATCTCAGAAAGACCAACACATTTTGAGTTGTATATATTATTTTCTTGAGAATTAAGAAACAAGTTATTGTTAASCATTTAACTTCATTTCTTCTTGACTTAAAGGCGGTTTAATCTAAGATTTGATTTCTTTCCAACTTATAGTGAACTAATTTACTGTAAATTGCTCAGTTATTAAGTTTAATCTCCTTCTATACTTTTTCCATATTTATACTTCATTGGTCATCTTTGCTCTTTAATAATAATGCAGATCTTTTCCAATGCAAACCCAAACAATGGAAATGTCACACTAGATTTTAAACGCGATAACTCAGAATTTTCGAAAATTTGTCAATTATTATTTTATGCTTTCTACACACTGTTCCTCTAATTCACCACACTGTCTTCTAGACTCCAACCACGTCCTTCCAAACCAAAATTGTTGGTGCCTTGACAAAATTATGCTCAGCACTCATGCGCACTAAAGACGCATCTTTACAAGTAAATTTAAAAAAAAAGCTTTTTGGCATCTCTTTCTCTTGTTCTGATGCTCTCTTGGCATGCTTTATTTCACAACAAACTGTTGGACGCGGCTAGCAAAACAACATAAAAAACAAAATAGCCAAAAATACATACAAAAATACAAACAAAACAAAATAGATACTTGAAGAGTACGGAAGCTAGTGGCTAGTCGTAGACGAATGACAAGCTTAAAACATAAAAGAGGCAAGATACGTTAACAAAGTAAAAACGTAAATTCAAAACACTGGGAGTGATTAAGATGCTGGAGGTTTCTTGAAGTTGTTGTTCAGTGATTGTGGAAAAACCGTATTTGGTAGTTTAGATGTTTAAGTAGCGGATGAGGTATTTTTTTCTGTTCCTTACAATATTTATAGAATCATAGCTAAAAGTACAAAGTGAACTGCAGCACACCAATGTTAGAACCAATTGTCGACGCACTGTTGCCACTCTGATTGAACTACATCAAAAACATGAATTGAATCACCCATGCAGTCGACTGCTATTTACTTCCGGGCTCTTGTGCGTAAACTCCCGTTATCATCCGTTAACCCCCGTCATGAGTCATGGACGTATTAGTGAATGAACCGCTATCATATTTTGTTAACATGTCTCTCGACTAATCGCCACTAGTATTTTTTGAGCGATTGACAAATTGTGTGGAATCCAACGCAAACAAATTTTTTTAACTGGCCCCATTAATGCCCATTGTTATCTCAATCTCTGTTTGCGCACAGCATAAATAGTTTCCGGAACAACAACTGATTTTAGACGCCCTTAACGAAACGCGTCTTGGAGTGATATGCAACCTTCATTTAATTCACCATACCRTTGCTTAACACTGGTCCTTGAWTGAGCYTCATTGTCAAGTTAAGCCATGTCGCAAGTTRTAAAAAAWTATCGTGCGAAAATKTTCGCAATTTAATTCCATTTATTGGTTGAGGAGAATATTTTAAGTTACTATATAACATAATATAAAGCAAATTTCCAAAGCGATGGACTTGTTTTAATTACAAATATTAAAATTTCTAAAACTTAGAAAGGAAAAGTTGAAATGTAGAATATTGAGTGATCCTCAAATACGGCAATTAATGAAACGGCTATGGCTGCTCCGGAAAGTGAAGCTTGGATTAAATAATAATAAGTGAAGCTAGGTAAATATATAAAGCACTAAGTTATAAAGAAATTCAGAAAAATATGCTCGCAAACTTTCAGATTCAAGGAGCAAATAAATGACCAAGTTTGACTTAGTCTATGCAACCACCTGTATAACTTTTCGGGCAGTGATGAATAGAAAGAGCAGCTTCAGCAGGGTCGAAATAAAATAAAAGAAAAACATTAAAGTCAGATTTGTGTTGGTCCTTAAAAAGAGATTGTCAACTGTAAAAATTGCTCATATAAAGAGTTTTTTTTTAAATAAAACGTAAGTCTTCGATGTATTCTTGGTTTTCAAATAAAAATTGACATTATAAATATATATATATTTGAATTTTTTTTCATTATTATTATATTTTTTTCTTTTTTTATTTACCTAATGTAAAGTAGAAATAAGGTTTTAAAAAAAAATGAGAGGAAATCTTATAAAATCATTAATAGTTTCATGAATAGGGAGCTCATATATGGTGTATATCCAAAATCGATATTATATCTTAAACAACAAAACCAGTGATATAAAAGTTATTTTAGACGTGGGATTTTCATCGGCACCTTCGAACATTGTTCAGCAGAATTGCAGTATTTGTAAGCGCATATTTTAGGGATGTTCATTTTTTTTAACGAGATATATAGGGTGTGTTTAAAAATAATGGGAATTTTCTTTCTTTTTTTTTTTTGATTTAATGAAAAACAAATATTCATTCGTCTCAATGATGTAATAACTAACACAACTTTCTTAGCAACAGCAAACAAAAACTATGAGCTGCTAGATCTCAAAAAAGTCAATAATAGAGAAATAGAAAAGATTGTAAATTAAAAAAAGGCATGTAAGACGACAATGGCAGATAAATCGCTCGCTTTCACTCAGCTTCAATTGAAATCGAGGAAGAATTCAATACTGAAATGTATATAAAGAAGCTCTGTCCAAATTCTAACAATTAAAATTCCCTTTGGAAAGCAGTCGCCTCCAACATGCCTATAAGTGACTTGGGCGGAAAGTGACGAATTGTTTTGCAAATCACATAGAAAGGGTRTTTCAACCTAATTGCTTAAAGAACAACCTTAACCAGCTGGCTAACGGGWCACTCGAGTCTTTTAAGACTTCACCTTCTGAAATTATTAGAATCATAAAAGAACTTAATGCAAAGAAGTCGTCAATACATGATTATATTACCCMAAAAATGCTAATTGAGTTACCAAATATTGCTGTAGAGGTGATTTTTGGCAGATTATTCTGATAGATAAACTTAGGAMAGACTTAACACAGCGGCCTTCATACCGACCAATCAGTCTTCTACCTTGCCATCCTAAGATTTTTGAAATAGTATAACTATCAAAAATGTCTCTCCATAGAGAAAGTAAATGGAATTACTAATGAAATAAAAAAAGCATTTGGAGACGTAAGTCACGCGTTCTATAAAGTGTAGCAGGAAGGTTTTTTATATGATTAAATGTCTACCTTTAGAATTGTGTARAACATTGGTGTCTTATTTAGATAATAGACAATTTRTGGTTAAAAAAGAAGTTGGGCAGTGATTTAGGCCCAACTCTTCTTCTTCTTCTTGATTGGCGTAGTCACCGCTTACGCGATTATAGCCGAGTTAATAACAGCGCGCCAGTCGTTTCTTTTTTTCGTCCTTCTATGCTTGGTCCTTCCAATGGAGTGGAGGTCTTCCTCTTCCTCTGCTTCCCCCGGCGGGTACTGGGTCGAATACTTTCAGAGCTGGAGTGTTTTCGTCCATCTGGACAACATGACCTAGCCAGCGTAGCCGCTGTCTTTTAATTCGCTGAACTAAGTCAATGTCGTCATATATCTCATACAGTTCATCGTTCCATCGGATGCGATATGGCCGTGGCCAACGCGCAAAGGACCWTAAATCTTTCGCAGAACTTTTCTCTCGAAAAGTCGCAGCGTCGACTCATCCGTTGTTGACAWCGTCCAAGCCTTTGCACCATATAGCAGGACGGGAATTATGAGTGACTTAAAGAGTTTGGTTTTTGTTTGTCGAGAGAGGACTTTGCTTCTCAATTGCCTACTCAGTCCAAAGTATTATATATACAATCGTTAAAAGAGTTCCCATTCAATATTATGCACCTAAGAAACCCAGCAACGAAGTGTCTACTTAAATTTTATTGTCAAAAACACAATAGCGGCTGCAATAGGCAAACGTATTCTTTTCTTACTTTGAAAGTTTTATTGTACTTTTTTGCAGCTGAAAATTAATAATGTTGACAGTTTTACTCTGCAAATCCCCATTTTTTCTGAGCACACGTACCATATATATATACGCATTGTAAAACCAGGGTGTCGTAACTCACTTATTGGAATGATCATTAAGCGTTGGGATCTCTTGAACATGAATTTTCGAACTCAAGAATAATTGCAAAAAATCATTTCGCCCAAACTCTTAATTAACATGTTGAACAACTACTACCTACCTACCGCACATGGAGTTTATGCGATATATAAAAAGTGTGCACATATAATATTATAATAAAAAATTAATATATTTATACTAATATAATATTTTTAAGTATCTCTATATAAATTAACTT